GTCTTCCTAAACCCATATGCATGCTCGTATGGAACCTGTACACAGATCAAGAGGCAGTTTTTGAACAGAGCAAGAGGATACTGCGTAGTTTAAAAACAGAGAAGGTGAACATCTGGGCTATATCCCTTCATGATAATAATCCAAGAAACTGAATAATCCAAGAAACTGAACTATATAAAGAACACAGCATGGGTATTGGAGGAAAACTTATTAACAGCCTGCGAAATGCAGATGCTACAACCTTGCTAGCTGAAACTGAGAGGACTTGAAGCATGTACTGATGAAAATCAAAGACGACAGCTTTCAGAATGCGTTACACCCCAAGGTAAGTAAACAAAATAAAAAAACGCCGGACAAATAGATAACATCACAATGAACACAGAAAATATTAAATTGTCAAACTTGATTTTACTTGAATCCATAGATGATGGAACAGTCAAGAAATCAAATGAAGTATTGCATTGGGCCAATCTGCTGCCCAAGAACTCTTTAAAGTTGTTGAAAAGTAAGTATGTCACTTTGAGGGATCAGGTGCACCTGACCCAAGCCAGGATATATCAGTTCCCTGCTGAGCTAGAGAATGAATAAGTAAGACTGGAGAAGAACGGATGCCTTTGAATTGCAGTGTTGGAGGAGAATATTGGAAGAGCCCTAGGCTGCCAGAGAAACAAAGGTATCTGTCCCAATGGCGGTACAGACACAATGTTCCTGACAAGTGAGGGTGGCAAGACTTGGTCTCACATCCCTTGGATGGGAGATCAGGGGAGATTAGTCCCTGGACAATGATACATGCCTGGTAAATCCGAGAGCCAGCAAAAAAGTAGAATACCCTCAAGGAGACGGGTTGACACAGTGGCTACAACCATAGGCTCCAAAATGAGCACAATTGTGAGGACTGCACAGCACCACGCAGTGTTTCAGTCTGCTGTGCACATGGCGACTCTGAGTCAGAAATGACTTGGTAGCACCCCACAGCAGCAGCCACTGTCTGTTGTTATATTTGTTTGGCAGACTGCTTCTGTCTCAGTGAATTCATGTCATTTGAATTTTATTTTATGTTGTACATTTTGTACAGAATATAAACTCCTCTATTTGTATTAAGCATCAGTGACCATCAATCAATACATGTACTGACAATAGACTTGTCCAACAATCTTTTATGAGGGCAACTGAGGCCAGGGCAGGAAAATGTGTAGTCAAATTCAGAGGCATATTGGTGCTGAACCATCACTAAAACACAGGTGTCCAATTTCCAGTGTAGTGTCCCTCACATCACCCTTCATTGTGAAACAGGACCATTGCCAACACTTTAAATGTAAGAGTAATTAACTGATTTTTATATTTACAAAATTCTACCATGATAGAAAACAGAATGACTGGGTGTGGAACCATGTAGATTTCTATTTAGTACTCTGAAGGCAGTCCTCAATCTTGCTATGGCATGTACCTTAAGTGATTTGTTAATAATGAAAAGAAAAATTCAAGGTTCCTGAGATGATGTAAATAAGAAGACTCTGTGAAGTTCAATGTTCTGTGAAGTTCCATGTGCCAATGTTGTCTTTCAGTTTGGAAATAACAGACCTGGGTTTTGCCTACAATGGTCAAATACTCGAGTTAAGCTGCTGCCTGGTGCGTGGTAGGAGCTATTAGTTATAATAGTTTCACTTAGGGTGAAATAAATCAATAGCCTTAGGGATTTACAAACTTTTTATTCTAAATTCATTACCAGAATATGCGACTTGGGAGTTCTAGCTGTAGTTATGGTCAGAACCTGAAATCAGATATCCTTTTGTAGGTGTGTTAAGGCAGACGCCCATTTCTAGGTAAACCCTTTCAGTGAGTGCCAGAGAGCCCTGAGAATATGATGGGCTATCAGTCCCATGACTAGGTGATGCTGCATAGCAAAATTGGCATTAAAAAA